GGCCAGTAGGCCTGCTGCAGTGTTCCTTCTTTCTTACGTTCTGTCTTCTTTTTTTTTTTTTTTTTTTCCAACAAGTCGGCCGTCTCCCACCGAGGCAGGGTGACCCAAAACAAAGAAAATCCCCAAAAAGAAAATACTTTCATCATCATTCAACTTCCCAACAAGTACCGTATCCACGAGGCAGGGTGACCAAAACAAAGAAAATCCCCAAAAAGAAAATACTTTCATCATCATTCAACACTTTCACCACACTCACACATCACTGTTTTTGCAGAGGTGCTCAGAATACAACAGTTTAGAAGCATATACGTATAAAGATATACAACATATCCCTCCAAACTGCCAATATCCCAAACCCCTCCTTTAAAGTGCAGGCATTGTACTATCCCTTTTTCCCGGACTCAAGTCGACTATATGAAAATACGGTTTTGCCTGATCCTTCACAAACTATACCTGCTCACACTCAAAGATCGTCAGGTCCAAGTTATCATTCTTCTCCATACACTCCTATCTAACACGTCATGCTGCTTGCTGGAAGTCTGTTTCATTGTTTATATTACAGAAATATAGATGATTTGGTTAGATTCAAAACTAAAAGTACCTTGACGTTGAGCTAAAATTAGCAGAAATGTTTGAGTTTTGCTGATATTCCAGAGTATACAAATGTTAGTCATCCAATACACGTCCAACTGGTCAGGTCTAATACGCAGTCATAAATGATTTGACATTATTTATACAATTTTTACAATAATGCAGTAGTCTGCATAACGGTAAATCTTCTCTATTTTTTTGTGTGAATAAAAATTCATAATGGAAAGCAAGCATAATATAAGAGGGGACTAGAAACATGACTAATGAACAGAGAAAATGTTTTAGTGCTAGGAATTTCTACATTGTTTATTCTGGACCCTATTTTGAAATTGGCATTCCTTGAAATGTGTGTGAAATTGGCCAAATTACCAATTTCTTATCACTATTGAGTACTTGTAATAGGTAAATGGGTGGTTTCTTGTACTCGATAGAGTGGAAGGAATTCTAACAAAATAGCTACAAGTTTGGTTGACTAGAACAATGGAATTTGCCAAAAATAGGGCACAAAGTTGGCGAAATAGCCGATGTGTAAATATCACCGAGACTGCTAGCTTTGCAAGAGCATAATTACATGAGTTTTCCATCAAATTTTGCACTTTTGGTTTCATTGCCTTCAGGAAAAGGTTCTCTTTTATCATAGGATAATGTTTTTTTTCTTTGACCCTGAGAGCAAGTTTGAGAGCAGGGGCTTCAACTCTAAATAGAGTTGTAAAAAAAAAAAAAAAAAAAATGACTTGAAACAATGCAGTTTTTTCTCAGGTTTAGAAGGCCTGGTCTAATACTTGTTGGGCCAGTAATTCCTGAAATAGTTGACATACACAGTAAAGGCTTCGTGAATGGTCAGAGGGTCCAGTGAACCTTCTGGATTAGGGCATAAAGTACTGTGTAATATTCTACATATTAACATCTACTAATTCCCTTGTGACATGCTTGTTTACTCATCCTGGTGGATTTTCACTATTGTATTGTTCTTTTGCTGACCAAATTTTCTCATTTGGCATGTATATACACTTTTTCTACTCATGATCAGATTTGTACATTTTTTCTTTTTAATTTTTTGTTCATTACCTTATTAACAACTGCTTCCTTAGTATGAATTGAACTTTGCCACTATGCAGATTTTTGTACAATTATTTACTCAACTTTTTGACATTAATTGTTCACATTATCTTTAACCCTTTGACTGTCGCAACCCCAAATCCTGAGGTGTCTCCTGGTGTCGAAAAATAAAAAAAAAATTCTTATGAAATAATAGAATATCTTTTCCTGGTGGTAATGACACTAAAAGAACAAAATTTGATGAAAAACTTTTGGAATTACGCTCTCGTGAATTTAGCGACCTTGGCGATATTTACGAATCAGCGATTTCACCCACTTTGAGCCCTATTTTCAGCTAATTCCATTGTTCCAGTCGACCAAACTCGTAGCTATTTCTTTAGAACTCTCTAGTAGTCAAGAGAAGGCGGACCTCTTTGCTGAACACTTTGCTACCAAAATGCAAGTTCCTGATCCAGCAAGGGACCCTCCTTGGCTAGCTGCAAGAACTGTCAAAACTGTCAGTGGTGACAAGGCAGGAGGAGGTGCATTTCCTTCTTAAATTGCTTGACCAAGAAAAGACTGTGGGCCCAAACAAGTTGAGCCCAAGATTGCTGAGATGTGCAGACCAGCTAGCAGCACGTCTACCTCGCATCTTTCAGCACTGCCTAGTACAGTGTAAATGGCCCTCTCTGTGGAAAGAGGCAAATGTAGTCCCTGTTCACAAAAAGAAGAGCAGAGCAGAAATCAGCAACTACAGACCAGTGTCACTCCTGTCAATCACTGGTAAGATCCTTGAGACAATAATCTCAAGACAAATGACAGAGTTTTTTGACTACCACTCACTACTTTGTGAACGTCAATATGGCTTCAGGAAAGGTTACTCTGCTGCTGATCTGTTGTTAAACCTCTCCACTAAGTGGCACCAGTCACTGGATGAATCCAAAGTCAGCTGTGTTGTAGCACTGGACATTGCTGGTGCTTTCGACCGGGTGTGGCACCAGGGCCTCTTAGCAAAACTTTAAGCACTGGGAATTGCAGGCTCTACGTTATGTCTCCTCAGTGATTACCTTCATGGTAGATCTCGAAGTGTAGTTCTCATTGGAATGGAATCAGCAAGACATCCTATTGGGGCACGTGTTCCACAAGGAAGCGTGCTGGGACCATTGTTATGGAATGTCTACTTCAACAACCTTCTTCATCTCATCCCAGAATCACATGCATATGCAGACAACTGTACACTGACATTCACTTATCCAAGAGAAGAAATGCCAGCTGCTCTAAGCTACATCAATCACCAGCTAAGAGCTATATCAGCTTGGGGAAATAGATGGCAAGTAACATTTGCACCTGAGAAAACGTAAATGATGATCGTCTCTAGGCACCATGATGGTAATGCTGGTGCAGTAGTAAGGATGAATGGGAGGGTGTTGGCACCTGGAGAAGAAGTAGATATCCTTGGGGTGAAATTTGACTCCAAACTAACCATGAAGAACCATGTTGTAAATCTTGTAAACAAGGCAGCCAGGAAGCTTACAGCACTTCGCCGTATCTCGCATCTGTTTGACAGTAGAGGTTGCAAGATCCTGTACGAGGCACAAGTACGCTCACACCTAGAGTATGCTCCACTTTCTTGGTTTGCCTGCCCCCCCCCCCTCTTATCTGCGACTGCTTGACAGAGTAGAGAACAAAGCAAGACGTCTCATCTCTCGCCTGGACCCTTCCTGGATAGATCTGTCACTTCAGCAGAGCCTTTTACACAGGAGGGATGTGGATGACCTTACTGTTATGTACAAGGCCAATATTGTCAAAGTACCACACTTGGATCCACTTCGAGGACAGCGTGAAACAAGCTTTTATGCCACAAGACTGGCAGAAAGCAGCAACTTTACTCTGGCTGTACCCTTCTCCAGAACATCACTCCATCTGAGATCATATATACCCAGGATGACTCTTAGTATGGAACACATTCGTACAGCATAATGATGTCAACGAGATAGTCAGTTGATCAAATGAAAATGCTGCCCCACAGATGGCTCCAACTTATCCTGTTTCCTACTTGTATGTCTCAACAATAAAAATGCTTTCAAATGAGCTGATGTAGGTAACAGCTCTTAGCTTTCCAATAAAGTTAGTAATCCTTAACCTGTAAATAGCTTGTCAATAAAGCTAGGGATCCTTAATCTTGTCAAACCCTGTGTAAAAAAAAAAAAAAAAAAAAAAAAAAATCTGTTGATTAAGTACAAGAAACTGCCCCTTTACCGATTTCAACTACCAAATAATATGGTCAGAAATTTGCAATTTGGCCAATTTCATTAAAAAATATGCCAATTTCAAAATAGGGTCCAGAATAAACAATTCAGACATTCCTGGCTCTAAAATAACGTTTTCTTTGTTCATCAGTCATGTCTCCAGGCCCCTCTGATATTACTCTTGATTTCTGTTTTGAATTTTTATTCAAACAAAAAATAGAAGATTTACTGTTATGCAGACTACTGAAATATTGTAATAATTGTATAAATAATGTCAACCCATTCATGACTGCATATTCGAATGGCTAGTTGGACATTTATTGAACAATGACATTATTTGTTTACTCTTGCACATCGGCAAAAATCAAACATTTCTCCTACCTTGAGTTCCATTTCAAGGTCCTTTTCATAGTAAAATCAATCAAAATCACCTGTGTTTCTATAATATGTTCTCCATTCTATCAAGTGAGACCAAGAAAACGAGAATACAACCATAAATACTGTCCGAAAATACACCACAAAGTCGGCGTTTTAATCCAAAAACACGATTTGAGTTTTTTGTTTCTCATCATGCACTGCGTGCTGCAGGATTTTTATATGGTGCACACTGACCACACAGACCCATTCTCTCACATGTGGGCCTACCAGCTTTCTCCTGCTTGATTTAAAGCCGCTAGAATTTTTGAGTATATATATGTCAAACACATTGGCTCGTAAGACGTATGTATATGACCGAAACAGTCAAAGGGTTAATAGACTCGATTTCTCATCCTCGTGCAAGGATTTTAAACATGTTAGTACAGTACCTGAGCATGTACTCCTGTGTGGGGGTCCTCTAGCTACACCCCTTACTTAACCATGGCTTTTATTACCTTAGCCGCCTCCTTGATTTTCTTGAGTGTTATGGCAATCTTGTATGAATCCATAAAACAAAAAATGTCTTGTATCCATCAAGTTCCTATACATTGTACCTGCTAGCAGAAAACATTTGAACAAAATTTGTAAGCAGCATAGAATGTCAGATAAACATGTTCCTTGGCTTTATGCTCCTTAATTTTATCAATTGATATGTAACATCGATACTCGTCCAGCAGTGCTCAAGTTTAATTTAAATGTTTGTAGGAAAGTATGAAACTTATGGAAGAAGTAGAAGACCTGCGTAAGCGGAAGGCTGCTGCTGAGCAAGAGTACCGTAATTCTATGCCAGCATCAAGTTACCAACAGCAGAAGTTGCGAGTCTGTGAAGTGTGTTCAGCTTACTTGGGTATCCATGACAATGACAGACGGCTCGCTGACCACTTTGGTGGAAAGCTACATTTGGGATTCATAAAGATTAGAGAAAAGCTGGAAGAATTAAAGGTAAGGGTCAATGATATATATATATAGATATGATTTGTCCTTAATTTCAAATAATTGCTTGAAATTTTTTATGTATGCAACATAATTAAAAACAATAGATTCCTTGTGCCTTTGAATGACAAAAACTTGCAAGGTAAGGAAACAACTTAGATTCCTTGGCAATTTTTGCACTTAGTATACATGGATGTTGCACCAACTGCTTTTAACCCTTTACCTTTCTACCTCCCCGGTAAAGGGTTAAAGAATGTTGTGCTATAAGTATTTATATTCCTAATGGAAAACTCAATCCTTTCAGCTTTGGCTTGTTCCCTGTAAATGTTTAATTAAGATTTTTTGTTAAACTCCTCATAAGTTTTGTTAGTGATAACCATTGACAAATTTAAAATTTTTAGGCAGACAGGAAGGCCCTGTTTATACAGCAGGTTAAGTTCTGGAGTACTGCTGTAAAGCAAAAATCACTGTAAAATGAATCGTGGCCTCTTTTTTACTTTCAAAAGGATATAAAAACCTGATAACATGTTTACTCTATCATATATTAAGTGATCAATATAGCAAGGCCTAAAAAATGCATATACAGTACACACATTATTTTCCTTAAAATATTTTTGTCCTTAGCTTATAGTGAGTAGTGAATATATTTATTGTAGGAAGTCTGAGTAAATGAAGAATGGGTATAATTAAAAACTACTGTATTAGTGAAATGCTGTAAAGCGAAGCACTGTAAAGCAGGGCCTACCTGTACTGAAAATCTCACTGTTTATTTTATATTTTGAAGTACCGTAGGGTCCTTTTTACAGCTTTTTCCCCCTTTGGCATTCCGCTAAAGGGTTTTTTTAAAATTACGACAAAAATTTGCAACGGTGCACCCCCCCCGTTTTTTTTTAATTCCCCCTGAGCCATCTCTCCTTAGTCGGGAAAATTTTCCAAAATTTCAAGTGTTTTTAAAGTTATTGCATTTTTTTTTTACTCGATCATTATACTTGTTACCTGTACCTAAATTACTTACGGGTGTGGCATGGGTACACATTAACCCCACTAAGTGTTTCTCTACTCTTTTTAATACGTAATCCCTTGGTGCATTAAATGTCAATGTTACAAAAAACGTAGACTTTCCTTAATCCATCTATGATATTTTTTTCAAAAATTATAAATAAAATGCATGAAACACACAAAATGTTAAATAAAAACCCAAGAAGAAAAATTTAACAAAAAATAAAAGATGTGGTAGCCAGGTGATTGTGTCCAACATCAGAGAAAATGTCACATAATTTTACTGGACCTGGGTTTCCTGGAGGGGTTGGGGGTAAACCCCCCCCACGGCCCGGTCTGTGCCCAGCCTCCGGGTGGATCAGAGCCTGATCAACCAGGCTGTTGGCTGGCTGCACGCAAACCCAAAGAAGCCACAGCCCGGGGGATCAGGAACTGACTTTTGGTCTTGTCCATGCCACTTGAAACTGCCAGGGTCTGTTGGTAAACCCCCCTTTGTGGCTGGGAGGCAGTTGAACAGTCTCGGTCCCTGACACTTATTTTAGGGCTCTTTAAAGTGCTAGTGACACCCCGCTTTTTATTGGGGGGGTGGTCATCGTCTGCCCAGTCTTTTGCTTTCGTGTGAGTGATTTTTTGTGTGCAAGTTCGGTACATCCCTCTAGGATTTTTTAGGGTATATAATTTATGTATCTCTCCCTCCTCGTTCCCGGGAATACGGTTTGGAACCTCAAGCGCTCCCCTAATTGGGTGTTTTATCTCCGTTATGCCGCCCTGAAAGTTTTCTCTACATTTTCAGGTCGGGAATTTCACCCCGCCTGAAAGGTGCTGTTAGTGTGCAGAATATCCAGCCCAGATAGAACAATGACCTAAGAGTGTCATCATGGGGTTGGCCCCCCTAGTTTTTAAGGTTCTCATTATCCATCCTGTCATTTTTCTAGCAGATGCGATTGATACAATGTTATGGTCCTTGAAGGTGAGATCCTCCGACATAATCACTCCCAGGTCTTTGACGTTGGTGTTTCGCTCTATTTTGTGGCCAGAATTTGTTTTGTACTCTGATGAAGATTTAATTTCCTCATGTTTACCATATCTGAGTAATTGAAATTTCTCATCGTTGAACTTCATATTGTTTTCTGCAGCCCACTGAAAGATTTGGTTGATGTCCGCCTGGAGCCTTGCAGTGTCTGCAATGGAAGACACTGTCATGCAGATTCGGGTGTCATCTGCAAAGGAAGACACGGTGCTGTGGCTGACATCCTTGTCTGTCGGATATGAGGATGAGGAACAAGATGGGAGCGAGTACTGTGCCTTGTGGAACAGAGCTTTTCACCGTAGCTGCCTCGGACTTTACTCTGTTGACGACTACTCTCTGTGTTCTGTTAGTGAGGAAATTATAGATCCATCGACCGACTTTTCCTGTTATTCCTTTAGCACGCATTTTGTGCGCTATTACGCCATGGTCACACTTGTCGAAGGCTTTTGCAAAGTCTGTATATATTACATCTGCATTCTTTTTGTCTTCTAGTGCATTTAGGACCTTGTCGTAGTGATCCAATAGTCGGTATTGGGGGTAACTAGAAAATTATTCATTTCATATGCCTTCACTCAGAGTGCCATTTCTTCTAAAAATGGTGTTACAGAGAATGGGAGTGTTTCTCTTTATTTATTCTATTGTATCAATGTGGAGACAACTTGTACACAATGTAAAGTGAAGAAAACCAGATGCGTTCGCCTGGTTTGTTTACATTACTTGTGGGTGGGGTGGGTCGGGGACTGCTACCTTGGCTGGCTACCACCTGACTTCCTACAAATATCTCGCCTCTCACCCTGCATTAAGACTAAAAATATTTTAAGGTAATTTTTAAATGTAAATAAATGTACTGTATATGTATTTTATCGCTATGGGGCGCTTTAATTAAATGTCGCAGTATATTACGTGTGGGTGGGGTGGGCTGGGCTGCGGGTGACCTGGCTGGCTATCATACGTCTCAAACCTGACTTCCTACAAATAAAACTCGCCTCTCGCCCTACACTGGGACTACAAATATTTTAAGGTAAGTAATGGGTGTAGTGTGTGTGTACAGTGGAACCTCAAATTTTGAACGTATCGCTTATCGAACTTGCCCATGTTTTCTAACCGCTGGATACCAGACCTGTCCGGCAGCCCGCTCTCTCCGCGTCCCCATGCAGGCGCCGTGAGCCAGTCTGGTTTTGTTGATGCTTGAGTGAACACTAACCTGCGCTCTCATTCAAATATTGTACGATTATTTCATTATGTTTATTGCGTGTGAGACTGAAATATGCTACAATGGGCCCAAAGAAACTTGCTAGTGGAACCCCTGTGGTAAAGAAAGTGAGGAATGCCATAGATGTGAAGAAGGAAATAATACAGAAGTGGAATGATGTCCAAATGTTTGTGGAGAAGTATCACCCTGAGCAAGCTGAAACAAACCATCTTTGCAACATGTTCAGTGACAGAATCATGTCCCATTTTAGGGAAATCTTAGAGGCACCAGAAGCAGAGGACTGTGGACAGTTATTTTGTGAGACAGGGGTCCAGTGACTCTCAAGCTGGCCCTAGTGGCATTAAAAGACAGAGAAGGGAAGTAACCCCAGAGAGGGCTTTGATACATGAAGTCCTCATGGAGGGGGATTCTCCTTCGAAACACTAACCCCAACCCCAACTCCCTCTCTCCTCCTCCCTATCTTCCAGATGCCATCACCAGTCTTCAGTAATGGTAAGTAAAATGTTATTTTATATGTTTATTTAAATCTAGTAATACATAATTGAACACTATATTTGTTGTGTGTATGTAAAACTATAATTAATCTCTATAAAATGTATTTTTTTGTGAATATTTTTGGGTTTCTGGAACGGATTAATTGTACACCTACCATCTGACTTACGACCGAGTTCGGTTCCAAGAAACCAGTCGTAAGTCGAAATGGTCGTAAGTCGTACTTTACTACTGAATATCAACATCACATTTTTGTAATGACTTTATTTTGTTGTTTTATTTTGGTATTTCATGTTTTACTTTACTTTTTATGCTGTTAGTACTGTATTTTATACTGTAAGGTTTAGGATGAACACCGTGTACAACACAAATAGTTGTTTATTTCCCAGAAATTTGGCATAAAAAACATGGTCGTAAGTCGAGTGGTCGTAAGTCGAGCAGGTCGTAAGTCGGATGGTAGGTGTATTTCCATTATTTCTTATGGGAAATATTGCTTCGTTTTTCAGACTTTTCGAATTTAGAACTAACTCCTGGAACAGATAAAGTTTGATATTTGAGGTTCCACTGTATTTTACTTTTTATTGTTTTTAATGCCTAGGTCTATTGTTAACTTAATATATACAGTGGAACCTCAAATATCAAACTTTCTTCCGTCCAGAACGCTGTTCGAGTGCCACTACCGAACGAATTTATTCCCATCAGGAATAATGTAAATTAGATTAGACCATTTAAGACCCTCAAAAATACACTTATGAAAACACTTACAAAAATACACTTACATAATTGGTTGAGTTGGGAGCAGTTCGATTTTTGAGGTTCCACTGTATTAGTGTAAACTTGTTATCTGGCATTTAAAGTGGACCCCCGAGTTTCATGAATTTCGACTTTTGGCAACTTTTTTCGTCAAAACATAGCCTCACGTTTCATGATTTGCCTCGTCATTCATTGGTAGTATGGAACACGTCCAAGCGTCCTCCCAGCGTCTGTGTGCACACAAAGGTGCCCCACACACCCTTCAGAGTTAGTGTGGCATTGTTTTTCAGTGAGTGACCATCACCCCACACGTTCATACGATAAATTTCTTTATAATCCATTGTTTTTTATACTTGCAACTGCTAAATAAGCCACCATGGGCCAAAAGAAAGCTTTTAGTGCCAGCCCTTTGGTAAAGAAGGCGAGAAACACTATAGAATTCAAGAAAGAACAAACCAGCCAGGGTACTTCCACATACGCAATTTGATTTGAGTGGGACTTGCACATGAGTGAATAGAATTAGCTTATTGCTTGGGGAGCATTGAAAATTGGGTTGGGCAAATATTCTGTTAGTGGGATGGTTTGTGAAGGACCTGCCTAGAATGGGCCAACAGGCCTGCTGCAGTGTTCTTGCTTTCTTATATTCTTATGTACACCAGCCAGGGTACTTCAAAGATTAAGGACATTTGTGTAAAATGGGGTGAGGTGCAAATAATTTTGGAGGAACATCACCTTAGCACTCTCCCCTCCTCTCGTCTTCCATACACCAATAAGAATCATCAGTAAAGGTAAGGGTGATGTTATTGTTTTATACTTGATTTCTCATTCTTTTCTGTATGTAAATCTATATTTAATGTATAAAAAAAAAAATTTTTTGTTAATACTTTTAGGTATCTGGAATGGATTAATTGGATTTACATTATTTCGTATGGGGAAAATGGTTATGAAACTTGGGGGTCCACTGTATATGCATTTATAAGCGGAAAAAAATGGCTTTCTGCTTTCCAGCAATAGCCTGGAACCCAACCTGCTATATAAGTGGGGCCCTACTGTACAGTACAATATAGTGTGTTCATAAATTTACCCTGGAAGAGAAATCTGCAGGAGTTGGAATATAATTAATACAATATGCAGAAGCTAGAAATGTTTAAATGTGTGTAAATTTTAATATTTTATAGATTGTAGTTTAACAATGGGTGTTAAACTACAGATTAATTTATGGTAATATTTGCTAATGTTTATGAAAGGATTCAGGAAAACTGGTTAACCAGACTTGAGTCCTGGAGGTGGAAAGTGCAGTACATGCACTCTGAAAGAGGCCTGGAGATATGTTGCAGTTTTTTTCAACTACAGTATTGGCACGCCTCTGACAAGAGGATGATGGAGTGAGTGATGAGAATGTTTCTTCATTTTTGGGTCACCCTGCCTTGGTGGGAAATGGCTGATGCTTTAAAAAAAAAAAAATGCCTAACTAATAGCTATAGTTAGGAAGAAAATAGTAACATGGTTAACTTCATTGAGTGACATGCAAACCATTTTTAACTGGATACCGTAAGAAAAATAGTGAGATTTGAACATCTAAAACCTTAAGAAAAGCCCCTTTTAAATGCATTACTGTATTGTATCTGGATTAGTCTCAAAATCCTACATGAGTAAAAGTTAAAGGACTTTGTTTAGTTAACTTTCTTTAATTAACAGAAAACGGTGGAAAGTCGAAGAGAAAAACGGCGTGAAGAGCGAGAGCTAGAAAGAAATGCCCGATTTGGTGAAATTGCCGATTATGATGTTACAAGGTATGTGCAATATTTGGTAATTTTTTTTTTTTTGTGTGTGTGTGTTTTAAATACTGTTAGTCAAGTGCTGGTAGCAAATTATTAATAAACTAGGCATCCAGTTTGGGTTGTTAATGTTTTTAAGTTATTCGTATGTTGTTGAGTGCTTGGAATTTGGAATCTCTTTTCCCATAGACACCCCATGTTATAAATGGAGATGTGTTCCAGAGTCCCAATATTTTATATCCAATTTAATCTGGTTCCCATTTAGACTTTGCTTTACTGGTGCAGACACACTGCTGCCTATGTCAGCCATGCCTTGATCCATGAGAGAACTCTACCTACAATACTGTATGCCGCCACTTTAACAGTTCGGGGAATCTTCGAAAAACCTTTCCCTCGCCTGGGGTGTGGTCAGTGTGCTCCGTAAATATTGCAGCTACTACCACCTCACCAAGGGGTTTTATCATTCTTATCCAATCTATAGATTGATGAAGCCCTGGTGGAGGAAGCCTATAAAATTACCCAGGTTTTGCACATACCTTATTCACCATCCTTTGTGTTAGTCCATCTCCTTGAATGTAGGTCAAGGTTTCAAACCCAAATTTGTAATAGTTTTGAATGGTTGAAATTTACAAACTGTTACTGCACTGAAGAACTTTACTTGAAGATAGAGGAGCACACTAGTAGGCCTACTTTTCCATGCTAGGCAGGTATCCTTCAAACTTGACTTTTCTGCTTTTCATATTTGTCCAACCTATTTTTAAAACTACTTGGTGACTTTTTGGGCTGATTTACACTTATCCACAATCTTGTCGAGCTAATTCCTTCCTATATCTAAATTTATCAAACTTGACCCCATTTTTATCTTTTTCATCTTTTAGCTCTTTCTTCTTCAAACATTCTCAGCACTATTTACATCACCTTCGTAAATAGTGCATGACTTAGACTTGTGTACAGTAAAAGGAAAAAGTGGGTGGCCAGTATTAAGGCCAGAGTCCCTGAATTTGGCCAACTCTTTTTATTTTTCAAAAACCCAAATTTTTTTTATTTTTGGTGTAACATTTAGAGGTTCATATGTAGAAGAATGTGACAAAGTTTCAGTATGATTGGCCAACAAACAACAGAGAAAAAAAATATTTCAGTGACTTCATATATGGCAGCAAAGTATGACAAAATGGCACTTCGAGTGGCACTTCCGACAATCCCAACCGTTAGAATACATCTGACACTAATTTTGGATGCACATGTTTCATCTAATATATCTTATTATCATGGAAAAAAAAAAATACATTTGATAGACTTTTTTTGCATTCACCAAAATATCTGCCTTTTACCTCCCACAAAATCAAAAATATTTGATATATTCCAAAAAAAGAATCATCAGATTTTCAAACACACCTTGTTTTATATTGTCAGTGAAAATCATTTCAATACAATCATTAATAATGGTGTACTTTAGCGAAATATGTGAAAAAGTTACTTCCGAGATATAGGCCTAGAAAACGTCGGCAGGCCTACCGTCTCAAAAAATTTTTTTTTTGCGCGGAAATCGGGTTTTTTTTGGTGTATTTCTTAGTAAACTGATGTTCTAGTGCAGTTATCCTCTTCAAAACACCGTTTTCTATCACATACCAAACAATAGAACAAGGAGACCAGGAGTAACTCATTTATATCGAAATATTGCTGGTGGACTCTCGCTATATTATGGCCTATTTTATTCAGTCTAGAGTATATAACATGTTTGTTTGTTATTTATAGTGTTTATTATATCATATTAGATCAATTCTGATAGATAAATAAGCCGTATAGTTGATATATAAGCTGATATAAACGTAATAATGAAGTGATTTCACCTGGCACCATCTGGAGGGGGAGTACTGCCGAGTGTTCTCAGATGGCTCCCTATTGGCTGACACTCTACTGATCAGCTCCACCTACTCTTATATGATGCCAAATAATCAATTATTATATTAGAAAGAATAATGCAAAGAAAAAGCAATAAAAAACAAGGAAAAAATTCCAAAAAATACTTCGGTTGAGAACAGACGCGCTACCTACATCGTCGTTACCATACCTGATATAAATGACTATAATTTCTTGTAGAAACGTCTTAGAACATTGATTCTTGTACCATTGTGTTGTCAAAGAGTTAAGCTATTTTTTTGGTATATATAACTCAATTTCCATAATTTTTCGATTTTTGGTTGAGCGCGCGCGGAAAATTGCCCACATGATTGTGGCAGTTAGAGATGAGTATTGAGCCATGATTGTAACAGTAAAGGACAATTCTAACCTGCAAACTTTATCACTTGTTTCCAAATCAATCAATCCTGAAAATTTTGTCTCATGTTAAATGGAGGCCTTGTTGTACTTCACTTAGTAGGTCTACTGGTAATGGTAGGTAGGTCCTATTCACACCAGCACATTCTTTTTATGTGCATCTCTGTTGGCAAGCTGGTGCTTTTTGTATAAAAACTTGTGAATGTATGAACAATACAGGGTCCGTGCCGTAGTTCTATGGCTTTGAGTTGAGGGTCCAAACAGTAGATGTACTCCATGATCTAAGCTCAATCTGATAAGCTGTGAGTGGTAAATTTGGGCCTAGATATGAGAGAATACATCTATGTGGTATGTGTGCACCACATAAAACAAATCCTGCAGCACAGTGCATAATGAGAGAGAAAACTGAGACCATAATTTTCGATTAAAACAGCTACTTGCAGTGTTTTTTCATATGTTTTTTATAGTTGTATTTGCAATTTCTTGGTCTCATTTGATAGAATGGAAGATATATTACAGAAATAGAGATGATTTTGATTGGTTTTATTACTGGAAATGGCTTGAAACTGAGCTCAAAGTAGCAGAAACGTTAAATTTTTGCCGATGTTCAAGAGTAAACAAATGACCTCACAAGTCTAATACACACCAGCTGGTGGGTCTAATATACGTTCACAAATGTGGTGATATTATTTATACAATTATTACAATATTGCATAAATGTAAGTCTTCTATTTTTTGGTTTGAATAAAAATCCATTATGTGAATAAAAAATCAAAATGGAATTCATTTGTAAATCCTGAAAACAAAACTAATGAACAGAGGAAATGTTAGTTTAGTGCCAGGAATGCCTACATTGTTTATTCTGCACCCTATTTTGAAATTAGAATGTTTTGAACTTTGCATTAAATTGGCCAAATTACCAATTTCCGTTCACTTTATTTTGTAGTTGAAACAGTTGACTTGGCGATTTCTTGTGCTCAGTCAATAGAATAGAAGTAATACTAGTGAAATAGGCAAGAATTTGGTCGACTGGAATAATGTAATTGGCCTAAAATGGGAGTCAAAGTTGGCAAAATTGCTGATTCGTAAATATCGCTGACACATCAAAATTCATGAGAGCATAATTTCGTCAGTTTTCCATCAGATTTCGTACTTGTTTTATTACCTTCAGAAAAAAATTCTTGCCATTTCATAAGAGAAAATAACAAAAAAAATTTTTGAAAATTTTTGGACCCTGGTGCACACTTTGAAATTTGACCTCTGGACCCTGAAAGGGTTCTAACACTTTCAGGGACCAGGAATGCATGTATCCAAGTTGGTAATGCGGTCAAAAATTCGTGGCAAAAACCCCACTGCAAATAAAGCAAACATGATGTGACATCAGAACAAATCAATGGGAAGATTTGCATTCTATGCTTAACCTCTAAACTGGGCAAAAACGTACATTGGTAAAATATATAGGAAATGTAAAAATCATACTTAAGTGCCAAACCCATTAAAAAAAAATAAAATCCTGAACCAGACACCAAATATAAGTTTAGTATACAACACACTAAAGAGAACAAGAGAAGTGGGGTATGCAAGTGCACATGTTCAAGGTTGACCTTCCTAGCATGGCTATTAGTTAATATTGCAGGCCTAGCTTTTCTTAATATGTACTTATTCTACTGCTTAATTTTCTACATAATGTTTGTAACTGTTCAGACTTCATAAACTTGTAGAATCGGCATTTCTCTGCCTAGACTTTTATACAATAAATTACTAAAATTGCATTTTTTTCAGCTGTTCTCTCTCCTGAAGTACTGTGCTTGTATTGAAATTAATATCCTTAAAATGACTGCTTTTATTAACAGGGATCATGACCGTGAAAGAGAACGTTATCGTGAGGGTGACCGTGACAGGAGAGAGAGGTATCGGGAAGGTGAGAGAGAAAGACGTCGGCGGAGGTCAAGATCTCGAACACGATCTCGCGAGCGTCGGCGTCGGCGATCCAGATCTCGTGAGCGTTACTATAGATCTCACTCGAGGTCAAGGTCCCGTGACCGCAGGTATTCCTCTTGTTGTGTGTTGCCACTAATTTGCTTTTCCTGCAGGCACTGCAATCAAATGGTAAAAGTATTCTTTATGGGCAGTAAAATTATTTAAACTTGGTTTTAATATGCATGGCCAACTGCTGCTGTGATAAATGGCCACCTAGGTCCCTGGAACATGCATCTTTCTGGACCTTAATGTATATTAGAAATAAGATTGATTTACCAATTGGTCATTAAGATGTCTATCAAGAGGAAGGGTAATCCTACAAAATACCAGTTCAGGCAAGGAACCCATACATATTTTAGTATTTAGTTTCTAAAATAGCTTGTGAGAGATCTTGTTTTCTCTCAATTTTTTTTGTGCATGGTTATTTTGTGCCTACTGTCTGAAGGAGGGGTGGTAATGTTGCGTTTTTATAACTAGTGTAAAGCACCCCTCTGGCAAGACAGTGATGGAGTGAATAATGATGAAAGGTTTTCTTTTTCAGGCCACCCTGCCTTGGTGGGAATCAGCTGATGTGTTAATAAAAATAAATGTATATCCAACTAAAGAAAAATTATTAGAATTGTGTATCTTTAGTTCTTGGTCTCCATTTTGCATATCTAGGTCAAATGCTTTAATATAAAAATTAATTCTGAGTTTAGGGAAAATGGGTCATATAAAACCTCAGGGTTTCTTCATATTAACCCTATGATTGACCATCACGAAGCTCTACATTATTGATACCAGAGTCCTTCATATTGACCTGCATTTTGAGCACGGTTCTCTGAGATAAGCTCTGAGTGGTAAATTTTGTCCCTGACGTGAGTGTGGGTCTGTGGTGAATGCACAGTATTATAAATAAATCCTGCCCCCACATGATGCATGACATTGGTTTAACCCTTTCAGGGATGGTGCCATACTAGTAGACACAAATTCTAGCGCCTTCAAATCAAACGAGAGAAAGCTGGTAGGCCTACATATGAAAGAATGGGTCTATGTGGTCAGTGTGCACAGTATAAAAAAATCCTGCAGCACAGTGCATGATGAAAAAAAAAATCTGACTGTGTTTTTGCTTTAAAACAGCGACTTTGCAGTGTATTTTTGTATGCTATTTATGGTTGTATTCTAGTTTTCTGGGTCTCATAGAATGGAAGACATATTACGGAAATTGAGATGATTTTGATTGGTTTCACAATGAAAAGTACCTTGAAATTGAGCTCAAAGTAGCAGAAATATTCGATTTTTGCTAAAGTTCAAAAGTAAACAAATCATGCCACGCGTCCGATACACATCAACTGGCAAGTCTAATATTTTAAAAAAAATGCGCTGATACTATTTATACCATTTCTATACTAATGCAGTGGTCTGCATAACAATAAATCTATGTTTTTGTGAGAATAAAAATTCAAAGTGGAAAGCAAAAGTAATGTGAGAGGCTTGGGGATGTGACTAGTGAACAGAAAAAATTTTATTTTTGTGCCAGGAATGTGTCTTGTTTGTTCTGGACCCTATTTGGAAATTGGCATCTATTGAAATTTGTGTGAAATTGGCAAAATTGCCAATTTCTGACCATTTTATTGGATAATTGATATCAGTAAATGGGTGTTTCTTGTACTCATTCGATAGAAAAAATGGAGTTCTAGCGAAATAGTTATGATTTTTGTCGACTGGTACATTGGAATTGGCCGAACATAGGGCTCAAAGTGGGCGAAATCGCCGATGCGTAAACATAGTCGAGACCACTAACTTCGCAAGAGCATAATTCCGTAAGTTTTCCATCACATTTCATACTTTTGGTGTCATTATGATCGGGAAAAGATTCTCTATCATTTCATAAGAAAAAAATTTTTTATCAAAAAATTTCCGACCCTGAGAACAGGTTTAGGGGAGGGCCTGCCGACCCTGAAAGGGTTAAAATAGCGACTTTGATGTGTTTCCTAGGATTTTTTTTTTTTTTGCTTTGTTTTATTGGCTGTTTCTTGGTATTATTTGATAATGGATGATATACTTCAGAAATCAAGATGATTTTGGTTTGGTTCCAGGACTAGAAGTAATTTGAAATAGGACTTTGCAGAAATAATTTATTTTTGTTTTTCCTGAGGATAGATAAGGGCCCCCTACACCCCCTGGTCTGTTTTTTTGGGATGCCATAACCAATCAGTAGGTAAAATGAAAGGGGGTAGGCAGCCGGGATTGATGGGATAAAGATAGAAATGTTAAAAGCAGGTGGGGATATAGTTTTGGAGTGGTTGGTGCAATTATTTAATAAATGTATGGAAGAGGGTAAGGTACCTAGGGATTGGCAGAGAGCATGCATAGTTCCTTTGTATAAAGGCAAAGGGGATAAAAGAGAGTGCAAAAATTATAGGGGGATAAGTCTGTTTAGTATACCTGGTAAAGTGTATGGTAGAGTTATAATTGAAAGAATTAAGAGTAAGACGGAGAATAGGATAGCAGATGAACAAGGAGGCTTTAGGAAAGGTAGGGGGTGTGTGGACCAGGTGTTTACAGTGAAACATATAAGTGAACAGTATTTAGATAAGGCTAAAGAGGTCTTTGTGGCATTTATGGATTTGGAAAAGGCATATGACAGGGTGGATAAGGGGGCAATGTAGCAGATGTTGCAAGTGTATGGTGTAGGAGGTAGGTTACTGAAGCAGTGAAGAGTTTTTACGAGGATAGTGAGGCTCAAGTTAGAGTATGTAGGAAAGAGGGAAATTTTTTCCCAGTAAAAGTAGGCCTTAGACAAGGATGTGTGATGTCACCGTGGTTGTTTAATATATTTATAGATGGGGTTGTAAGAGAAGTAAATGCGAGGGTCTTGGCAAGAGGCGTGGAGTTAAAAGATAAAGAATCACACACAAAGTGGGAGTTGTCACAGCTGCTCTTTGCTGATGACACTGTGCTCTTGGGAGATTCTGAAGAGAAGTTGCAGAGATTGGTGGATGAATTTGGTAGGGTGTGCAAAAGAAGAAAATTAAAGGTGAATACAGGAAAGAGTAAGGTTATGAGGATAACAAAAAGATTAGGTGATGAAAGATTGGATATCAGATTGGAGGGAGAGAGTATGGAGGAGGTGAACGTATTCAGATATTTGGGAGTGGATGTGTCAGCGGATGGGTCTATGAAAGATGAGGTGAATCATAGAATTGATGAGGGAAAAAGAGTGAGTGGTGCACTTAGGAGTCTGTGGAGACAAAGAACTTTGTCCTTGGAGGCAAAGAGGGGAATGTATGAGAGTATAGTTTTACCAACGCTCTTATATGGGTGTGAAGCGTGGGTGATGAATGTTGCAGCGAGGAGAAGGCTGGAGGCAGTGGAGATGTCATGTCTGAGGGCAATGTGTGGTGTGAATATAATGCAGAGAATTCGTAGTTTGGAAGTTAGGAGGAGGTGCGGGATTACCAAAACTGTTGTCCACAGGGCTGAGGAAGGGTTGTTGAGGTGGTTCAGACATGTAGAGAGAATGGAGCGAAACAGAATGACTTCAAGAGTGTATCAGTCTGTAGTGGAAGGAAGGCGGGGTAGGGGTCGGCCTAGGAAAGGTTGGAGGGAGGGGGTAAAGGAGGTTTTGTGTGCGAGGGGCTTGGACTTCCAGCAGGCATGCGTGAGCGTGTTTTGATAGGAGTGAACGGAGACAAATGGTTTTTAATACTTGACGTGCTGTTGGAGTGTGAGCAAAGTAACATTTATGAAGGGATTCAGGGAAACCGGCAGGCCGGACTTGAGTCCTGGAGATGGGAAGTACAGTGCCTGCACTCTGAAGGAGGGGTGTTAATGTTGCAGTTTAAAAACTGTAGTGTAAAGCACCCTTCTGGCAAGACAGTGATGGAGTGAATGATGGTGAAAGTTTTTCTTTTTCGGGCCACCCTACCTTGGTGGGAATCGGCCAGTGTGATAATAAAAAAAATAAATAACCAATCAATTCTGATTGTATCTTATTTTCTGAGAAATAGGGTAAATCTTTGATTGTTGTGATTATGGATTTAAAATGGAAGGCAACTGTAATATAGGAGAGGGCTGGGGATGTGATTAATAAATAGAGGGAATGTTTTAGTGCCTGAAATGTCTACATTGTAAAATTGGCCAATTATTGTGCACTGCATTGGGTAGTTCTAATAGTTGAATGGGCATTTTCTTATGCTCAGTTGATAGAAAAGAAGGCATACTAGTAAAGTGGCTGAGAATTTGCTTGAATTGAGCAGTGGAATCGGCTTAAAATAGGACTCGGTGGGCAAAATTGCATGTGTTAATTGCACCCAGGTTGCTTATTTTGCACCTGTATAATTCTGCCAGTTTTCTGTAAATTTCATACTTTTGGTGTCATTTCATTCAGAAAGATTCTTTCACCATTTCAGAAGAATTTCTTTATTTTTAAATGTGGACACTTAAAGTAATATTAATTTCAGGGGTCTGAACAGTGAAAGGTTAAGAAAAGTAATGCAAAAGTATCTGAAGTTTCAATTTTTTATGGAGACATGACACTAGTTGAGAACCAACTGGGTGATGCACGATTTTAGCAGAAAGGTTAAGACTCTTTGTGGAGCACTGTGCATTTGTTAAACATTGTTTTTCATCTTAGAAGTAAAGAAAGCTATTTGTACCAAATGAAATGTAAAAATTTATGAGGTTATGTAGGGATTACATTCATTTTTATAGAGATCTAGTGAAGTGGTTTTTGCCTAGTTATTAGCCTTATAATGAATATTAGTATTGGTGACTGGTCTATGTGATGTTTTTCATTCCTAAATAAGCAGATTGTGAAAGATAATTTTAGGTACTGTGACAAACTGTATTCTTCAGCCTCGCCCATTACTTTTTTTCAAACTTGATCTTTCATCATCATGGGTTACATTTGACTCTTCGGGCCTTTTGTTGTTCCCCACTTGAATATCTCTGTGCAGGGGCAAATGTTCCATCATTGCAACATTGGTGTAGTGCCCGTTGTCTCCATTATTGTCTGCTCACAACCTTCACGGTCCTTCTACGGATGTTAGAAGAGCTTCTTTGTTTAATTGTTGCTCTAAACTAT